TATATACGTACACACGTATACACACCGCCACTTGCCAATATGCGTTTTCGCATTTGCATAATATGCAAAAACGCATAAAAACGCGCATTCTGACGACCGATGAGGTGTGTTTTTGTGTAAGTGTGTCTGAGGATTTATTAGTCGGTGTCGTATGTCAGGAAGTCATGGTGGGGCTGATTTCGTGTCAATCAACTCATCTAACGCAGGTAGCTTCAAACCTAAAAATTCCAAATTTGTGAGTAAAGCCGAAGTGCTGGGAACAAATATGCGGTCACTTTACGAACTAAAAGTAGAACGAACTTTCGGGTTCAGCAACAAATGTGCATTATGCGAGCGCACAAGGCTGTATGCCTAGAGCAAACTGCCGCCAAAGTGCATGGCTACGCCGATCTTTCCGGTCTGCCGTGATTTCAAAGAAGAAAAAAAAATTATAACTTTTGAAGCGAGCTGCGCGCTTTGCTTTTCACTGACTATAAATTACTAACAATATGCTGATGCTGAGCACAGCAGTACAATGAGCCTATTCTCTTAATAAAGACTCTGAATATAGGTTAAAACACACTGACAAACTATACTGTTACAATGACAAAAAGCTCCAGATAAATAAAGAAGACGGCAAGGTTCAAAGCGATTGGAAGGGGAAGGGAGGATATCAGCGGCAAATACGATTAAAATTGGTGCAGTCTCGAGGAGATTTCTTGGCATCTCCGACTTTTTGCCAGTTATTTAACTGCTTCGTTTGATAATGAAATGAAAGTTTAAAATGTGCACATTTGTTCCTTCGCAACAAAACTCTGAGAATAAAACTCGAAGCAACTAACAGCGCAGCCGAAGACGGCGGCAGTAGGCAGCATTAAAAAATGGCATTCTTCAGCCCAAACAGTAACTCTGCAATAGAAAAGCGCTTGTCATGCACCATCCGCTTTTTCAGTAGATTTCTAATTCTAGAATGAGAAAGAGAAACAAGCAGAAAAACACCGACATGCGCAAAAACTGAGTTCAAAAACTGTATTTGAGCAAATTCATTAACATAACATCGAAGTGAGTACGGTCCTTAAACAAATCTCCTGGAAAGGCCAGTAAACTTCAGAAGTTCAGTTTGGCAGCAATTTAAAAAAAAAAAAAACAACAACAAAACGGCGATCTGTCAACTTCTTATGTTTATGAATTCCCTCCAAGAACCGTACTCAGGATTACAGTATATCGCTTCTTGAAATAAGTGTTTGCAGCGCTACGTAAGTTGATACCGACCTTTAACCAACTTCCTACTCGACTATTTTAGTAGCAGGTTGAAAAACAAAACTCTTTTGAGATATTCACGTTCTGCTGTTGCCGGAATCGCTGCAGTTCCTACAGATTCGGAGAGAAACCCGGACAGTCCGTACACTGCACCGATTCCAAAAATCTATGCATCCATCGACATATGCCCGGGCATTAGTGATTCCATCCATACGTTTGCACCCATCTGCGTTTGCGCTGTATTATACGGTGTCATCATAGGCCCCATCGGTCCCGGCATAAACATATGGCTCGTTAATGCGCTGCAATAAAGCTTACATTTTTTTTTACTAAAGACTGATCTGGTGTCTTATACCACAAAAAAAGCTGAAAATTTGATTGATACCCCCAAAAGCAGTAAGTCTCAAAAGGACAGTGCATTTGAAAATGCAGCATTGTTTAATTTAAGACAGTAATTCCGCTCCTCCTCCTTTACTCAAACTTAGAACATTTACACTGTTTAAAAAAAAAAAAAAACGAAAAGAATGCTTTTTTGTTTTCCTTTTTTTTCTGTTTAACATATTGAGCTGTCTTAACAATACATATGCCCGCTGAAACCAGGTCAAACACCTGGCGGGTGGATGCAAAAGAATGTGAAATATAGGCCAACAGTAGAAAAGCAGCACCGCCTTACATCTTGACTGCGACTTAACAAAACAATTTCAATTTTGAAGGATTTCAAAAAGATATGCACGCAGGGTAAGCTCTGTCATAACTTTGCACTTGAAAAAAATGCCATGTTCCAGACACAAGGGACGCACCTCAATTCTGGCGTCTTTGACAAAAATGTTGCTCTTCTCACGCCAGCTCTTCCACATTAATTTTTTCCCCTCCCAGTGCAGCCTCGCAATTCCCTGCAGACTGTTAGCTAAATTTTGCATGCATTTAGTTCGAGTGCCCGTCTTTATGCTGAATTCATATTCGGTGTTCAGTGACTTCAATTTTCTGAATTTTCCTCTTCCTCTAGAGATAATCCCGACACTTCTCTGCGCAAAAGGAAAACTGCCGATTATTCTGCGTTAATGCATAGTCAAGGCACGATGATTAAGCACGATGATGTTATTTTTCGTGATGACGTTTTCACATCCGAGTCTGGGATGAGTGCAAGTAGCCACAGCTTGTGAATCATTATGAAAACAGATTCTTGGTTAAATTAGCATATTTTCAGGACTTAATCTACTCAACTTGTTTTGGCAAGCATGGGGGAGGCGGAAAACGACAATTTCAAAAAACCGCAGCGAATTGGCAAGACAATGTGAGGGGGAACAGAGAGTTTTTCTAATGCGGTTCCACATTCATTCATATAGATATAGAAAAAATATAACCCAGGCCGCAACGCACCAGGCTTGGTCTGCGATCATGCGTTTTTGCGCTAAACCCGCAGACTGCTAAAAGCTGAAATTGTTCCCGCATTGTAGTTTAACGCTTGGACTCATACTGGCTGTGTTGTGGCCTCTTTCCGAATGGAGGGGGAAAGGGTTGCGGTTGGGATGAAGATTTTGCATTACCCGCGCCAAAAATTTCCAAGTGATCGTGCGTGTGACCCAGGGGAATTTAAATTTGCAGGGTTGTACTCGGACAAAATGCACTCTCGACAGTATGTGTTTTGTGCGACTGTTGCAGTATGCATGAGAACAAATAAATGTGATCACTAAATTAAGCGCAACTGCTCCGAAAGAACGCTAAATTTACAAGAAAAGTGAAACGAAAAAAATGATCTAAAAAGAGAGGTAAGAAACGGAACGGGAGGGGAAAAGGTACCAAAACTGGAGCGCGCCCATTCTTATTTGTAGTACAATTAGTAGGCCACTCAACGCTGCTGATAAAACTGCTATCGCTCAAGCCAATGAATACCATTTACGGTACTTGTAAAGTGACATCATCAAGTAAAAGAGGACGCACAAAACTGCTGCTTCATCTACCAGCTCAAAAGACAAATCAGCTGGAAACATTACGAAGATACCGCTGTCCAAGAAATTTTGAAAATGCCTGCTCAGATCAAGACGAGACTTCAAAATTTAAAAAATTTCTTGCTGTAAAAAAAAAGATAAAACATTGGTTAAGCCAAAATCAAGCAGAGGAGAGCAAATTTATGGTTCGGCAAATAAACTTAAATTGATCTGCAGCTATCGCAGTCGGCAAAAGTAAAGTGGACGATTACCACGTATATTTTCTTTGTAATTTAAAATTAGATAATGAAACATACGCCGGATTGGTGAATGCTGGATGTGTGATACCAGCAGCATATGGATTAGTAGGAAACATCGCTTGAGTTGGATAGCCGGCTGCAGCTGCCGCGCTTAGCTGATTGCTATCCGGGCTATAGGTGTGACCAACACCCAATAAATCTGCAAAGAAGGTCTAAACGAAACAGCTTTGAATATTCTTCTCCGCTCACTCAAACGTATCACAACTTAGACGATCGGCAAGATCATGCGTTTCATTTACAGTTGTAGACAGTTTCAACCTTAGTATAGTTTGGACCATGATTTTAGCTGCAACCCCCCCTCCGTCACTTCTCCTTTCACCACACAGCCCGAAAATCTGTTGATGATGATTAGCTAAACGATAGTGAACCCACTGACAAATAGCAAAACACATATGCCCTATCAGTGTCACTTTAACTAAACTTAAAGACTCTTTTTCCAAATTCAGTACACATGCCCAATTAGAGATCTTGTGATTTTCCACTTGGGACAAATTCAATCTAAGGAGAGAGCCGGGATAGATAAACACCAAACATATGCAGCGGCAAATTTGATAGACCAACGAACCAGGGCTTTGTCCGCTGCTTTTCCTTCTCCTGTTTTTGAAAACATTGACGCCATTCGGACGACCGGCGCGATTACTTTGATCTATCATAGGCTGCACAATCCTCCGCCTCGCGTTTATAAACCTGAAAAACCCAGTAACAACGTGTTACTGAGCTTCAAAAGACGAATTTTGTTGTACGTAGAGGCAAACGAGCAAATATTTGTGCTCACTTGTGTTTATTTCAACCTACACGAAATTTAATGAACCATTATTACGTCGAAACTGAGTTTTCACAGCCATCTACGTAAATGTAAAGTCACAAATTCGATAGTGAGTAGTAATTTATCTGTAGGATTTAAAGCTTGCTGATGGGCTGGTGTGACAGCATACGGAGCTACCCCACTCAACGGTTCGGAATCTTAGATTTAAAACCTCAACTATTCGTTTAATTACAGGCGAATGCTTGGTAATGGTACTTGCCTTCAACTTGCTTTCAAATAAACCCCCCGAAGACAGAGCCAATACCAGTCCTCGCATCGAGTGTTTGCTGGTAACAAAGTATTAAGATCCTCATTAATTTTAAGTGCTTGCTGCTTCTTATAAAAAGAAATATGGAGTGCGGTTTTTCATATGAATCTGAATCCTGGATTACGAATGGTTCTGCAATGAGTTTGTTTGAAATGTGTAACGACGAGAAAGCTCACAAGTCCTTACGCATACTGGATTCTACCGCAAGCACAGATAAGAGACGTGATCACATGCATGATATCAGCACGCTATTTAGGCTGTTTAGCGGTGCTTATAAAGCTAACATGACATTCTGCTACTTGCCATATTAGCTTCATAAACATCGCTAAACAACTTGGATAAGCCCAAGAGAAATTAAATGCCATAATGCTTAAAATTAATTCTCTGATATGCAACAACACTTATTTATGCACTGATGTGCACAAATTATGTCACACTACCGTTTTAGATATTTCTTTTAGTAACTTAAAATTATAAAAGTTTTTTGTAACGTCTTTTGAACAACTGTTGGGCCTTTGGAGAATTTTAAGAACAGGGGTCTGTTAAATGTAAATTCAACTTTGACACCGTTCTTAAAAAATTTTGCAATAAATTACAGCTCCGATCCCCAAATCAAATTAGTTCTGGTACTAGCAGCAATCATTTTACAGTGTGAGAGTAAAGAAGCAGGAAGAGCCACGAAATGGTCGTTTAATATCATTTTATGGCAACAAAACAACAAAAACTTTTTACGGCCTCACAAAACGGGCAATCAATTCAATTTTATGAGTTTAGACGGGTCGAGGTATGATGAGACGAGCAAAGAGTTGCGTGGGAGGAGGGCCAGAGGGTTATAATTCTTCACCCCGAACTAAATAAAATCATCTTTAATGGGCAATTATTTCAAGTAAGTGCTCCACTCGCCCCCGTCCCCAGCTCGTCAACTGCTCCCTCCCCCTCCGAAACTTTCTCCTCTCCCTTCCAGTCTAATTTTTATTGCGGCCATAAAAATGATCCGTTCCCATACCTCCAGCACCAGCAGCAACAGCCTGTGCAAGCCAACAGTTGCAACAGTTTATGCAATAATACAACACATATCACTTCGAATTACAACTGTTCGACAGCTGCGCAGCAATTCAAAATGCCGCGCTCCTTGCGTGTACGCCTGCGCCCTCGACAACATTCAGGCAGGCTCAACTAACTCCATGTTAACCGCCGTCCTTCCCCACCTGTTTTTTGGCGCAAGCCGAACATCCATGATGCAAATGCTCCAGTGCACAATCATTTTTGCTGCAGGAGCGGAAGTCGCAGGTGCATGTCGCTACGCAATATACCAAAACTAATTCGTTTGCGCGTTCTTATCTCGCTATTCAGTTTATAACTCAATCTGATTCCTCAACTTCGATTCGCACACATTCTCCGCCATCTCTACTGCAGAAAAGAGCTCACACTTTAATTCCACCCAACCTGCGTACGAAGACCAATACAGGCATGGGACGCGAAAAGAAAAAGTCGCCGGCCTCAATAAAAGTCATCTGCACTGTCCGAAACAGCCAAGCTACAAGCCTGACGAAAGAAGATCACTGCATCCCTTCGCACCAACCAGTCACTATTCCGCGCGTTAAAATCTTAAGTAAGCAACGACTCGTGACATCATGCGATTTTTTAACACTGGATCTGACACAGCCCCGCCACTTCACATTTCCGAATCCAGCTGACCAGATGGACTCAAGCCCTGGCTCATCTAGTCCAAGGACGAAAGGTGAGTGACGACGGCAATCACAAGTTACTCAGATCAAAGTTTCGCAGATGCAAGAAAATGTTTGTTTATTTCTTATTTCGCCACTAAGATTATCAAAATCAGACTCAGTTGTTAATGCGAATCTTTTGACTTTTTTTTACAACGGAACGGCACCTCTTTTTCCTGACTATCTCACTCCAGCATTCAGCACCATCACCATTATGGCATAAGCGCACCATCTCTTCGAAACCTTCCAATCCTTTTCCAACATACCTGATAAACGATTAGCCAGCTATCAAAATAATTTCGCGCCCCTTACTATAATTTTTCGTTTAAGTGTCCCAATCATTACACTTCTACCATGTTCTTATATCAAGGAAGAAAAAATTTCCCCAACAACACAAGTGAAAAAAAGCAAAGCACAAGCGTAAAAATTCTTCTTAAGGCATTTCCATGTGCTTTTGCTCTTTTTTTTCTTGTTTCAAGAATTCGGTCCTCGTATAGCTCACAGTTCAGATGCAGTTTTCCAGTGCTGACTCTAATTTTCCACAATTCCGAAAGCTACTGTAGTTCCCAGCAACCTAATTCTCAAAAGCATTCTGAACGAAAAACAGTGAACTTGTCTCGGTAATTGTGCTGGGTAGAAACAGCAATGCTATGCATAATTTTCAACGTCACTCCCTCCACACACCGGTCGCTCCCAGTCATCCTCTCACTAACAACTGTCCAGAATTCGAGGAGAGGATGAAAGTGGGGGAGAGAGCGAGAGAGAGAGACAAAGAGGAGCAGCCATTCCAGCCCGTTCGATTTCGACTGAGACAATTCTAGGAAGGGGTAACGTTTTTGCACCGAAACATTGCCGCCGCCAGGCCAGCTGCGTTAATCCATCATTTTCAAGGCTACTGCTCCATACCATCGTGCCTCAGTTGCTGAACTGTGTGTCTGACTCTCTTCAAGCCAAACACATCTCTTAGATCTTGTGCTTCTGTGAAGAACCATTTGCTTACTATTGGCTGCTGCTGCTGCTGTATCATTTTTGGCTGTCCAAGGTACAGCTCAAATCATCCCGAGGTAGGAGTGAGTGGGAAAGAGTGAGAACTAGAGGAAAGATATGGAACGGAGAGGGTATACGGTATATATATAAGCAGCAGATGAAGGGGCGATCGTTCCGGTGCCTTTTGCCCAGATGTTCTGCTGCCCCTAGGGGCTCAATGGACGGATGGACATGAGCTCATCAATCATACAATCATCTCGAGCCTTTGATCGGCGCCGATCGAGCGATGGGTGCGCGATGTTCAATGCTGCTGGAAGTGCAACGAAACGTTTTCAGCCTATATCAGTGATGCAGTTTTTATTGTTGCCGTGCTGCACCAGGCAACAAAAACGCACCTTAACGGCGACCCTGCCTGTGAATGTGTGTGCTCGTCTGTCCGAGTACTTCTACTCAGCACCCACAGAAGCTTTGATGCTGAAGTTTTTCGATGTGTTCCCCGGCCAAGTGCGACCCCATGAAACTGTCACGTCTACGTCTCATGTACGGGCACGCGAAAATCCTGGTCGTAAAATCGCCAACCTGGGAACGAGAAAAGCTAGAAGGCTGAAATTTTAAAGGAATGTCCCCTACTCATGTGCAACTAAAAGATTCGAAATTCAGCTCCTTAGAATTGCCCGGCTCTCACTTACAGATATGTGAAAGTTTGGCGAGAAAATAGTTAACTCAGGGACGAGGGAAACTGAAAATACGAAACTCTAAAGAAAGGTCTACTCATCTAAATCAGAGACTAGAAAAGCTAGAAAGCTAGAAATTTTAAGGAAATGCTCCCTGTCCACGTACAATTTGAAGATTTCAAATTCAGCTCCCAGATATGCATGATTCTTAACGCATGGGTTGTGAAGATTTCGGCGGGAAAACTGCTAACCTGTGAACCAGAAAAGCTGGAAGACTGGAATTTTAAGGACATGTCCCCCATCCACGCACAACTTAAACATTTCAAATTCAGCCCTCAGGTACCCACGGCGCTCACGTATGGGCACATGGAAGTTTCGGCGGCAAAATTGCTAACTCGGGGACTAAAAAACAGGAAAGCTGCAATTTTAACGGAATATTCCCCGTCCAGGTATAATTTAAAGATTTCAAATTCAGCCCCAGGTATGCGTGGCTCTCATGTACGAAAACTTGAACGTTCTAGCGGGAAAATTATTCACTGAAGAACTGGGTCATTTTCAAAGAACGACCGTTAAACGGAAAATGTTCATTTCCCTTTATACAAAATTTATGAAGATTTACACTAACAAGCACACAAGATAAGTATAAAAACGCAACCATTCATACAGTTAACGACCTGTATGCTTTACGTTTAGTGCAAAAACGCATGATCGTGCCGGGAAGCCTAGTGTATTCCGTCTTAGAGTTATTGGCGTTCAACCACAGGTTTTCACTATCTAGCTCTCGGAGATTCCGACTGCAACGATCCAGGGATGTGGCTTCGAAACGCGACAGTTCGTAAAAATCAGAAAACTCCTCGCTTACACGCTGCTTCGCCGTAGCTAGGTGTCAACTTCCGGAAACAGATAATACGTAGAACCATACTGCGCATATCTTGAATATCAGAAATTAGGCATCAAGCATGCATTACTGTTTCGTTAATATGAAAGATCGGAAGGAAATTCAAAATTTAACGCATTCTTGCTGCGCAAAAATCGAGGAAGTTCCCTCCACATATGATCGAATATCTCACAGTTTTGTGATCACTCTGTTCTGATATTATGAAACTGAATATGTAACTGCGTCTCTGGCCGAAAATGCAATGCTTTCCGGAGTTTAAGCCATTTAATGTAAAAAAAAAAAAAAAACGGTGAA